CCCGAAGAAAGATTGAGGAAAATGTCACCTTTTGAAATGCTTTAGAAGTTATACTCACCAGATCGCCCGCCCCCCCCTCCCCTATATATGAACAGTCTTTATCCGCCCCTCCTATAATTGTTTCCAGAAGCAAGGATTTATTTCACGTACGCGTTAAAACTACAATGAAGGAAAAAGTGTGTAGCCTGTCCTCGTGGGCAAGGGCAATGTCATTTATTGTATTGAATTGAATTGATTTATTGTCCATAAAAAATGGCTCATTTCTCTATAATTTCATTTCAGTTTTGCAATCATAAAAACTGTTTGATGCAACTTAAACCAAGTGTTTTCGCAATAAATCAGGACTCTAAAATAAGGATTAGTTTTCTCCATTTTGAGAAGGTGAAGGTCTTTTGCGGTGTTTGATGACAACAATTGAACCCATTCATATCAATTTATTGAGGTAGTAGCATTGGATTTAATTGAACATTTTATAAGAATCGAGGTCGGGTCGAAAACTGCGAAGGGATTGAGTTTCAAGCCATTTATATATTATTGGAAAATATTCTATAAAAGAGATGGTTGAGTTTTTCGGTAGAGGTAACAAATATTTTGTGAACGTTTTCATTGTTATTATGCAAGTGTGAAAGAACATCCGCAGAGTAAAAATGTTCCCTGAAAAGTATAGATCTTCAAACGCCTTCATATTTTAAATATGACATGTAACCGAGCCTAAATATGAGGGGCTCATTTTCATGCCACATGTCTGTGTAGTATATACATATTTCTGTGTACAGTATTTTTAATTTTTTTTTAGCAGGACTGGACAAAACTTCTTATCATGTTGATGATTCGATAATCTTGCAGTACACATCAAAACTTATATGCTACATGATCATTTTTTCTGATCGATTTCACCCCGTTTCACAATGCAAGCTCATGACCAGAACTCAACTTCATCTTTAAATCTGAAATTTGTCAACCTCGGTCAGACAGTAGAGCCTGAAGTGTTTGAACAACCGTCGATATCGGAGACTGAATCTTTTGGTCCAACTGTAAGTTAGAGTAAGATCTAGATTAGATCTTTACAAGTTATTGTATACTGACATGACACTCTGTTCAAGGCCGATGATATGACAGGAGAACTACTGTACCCTATTCGTCCCATGGCATATCATCTGGGTCTAGTCTAGCCTTTAGACAAGGCCTCATGCGACTAAAAAGAGACTAATAGTGAAAACCCGAGTGAACGCAAGAGCGAGGGGCTTCAGCCAAGAGGCCTTTAGTATTCTGGTTTGGATTTCTTATGTCAACCCTTGTTTCCGACTGGAGTTCCCTACCGAAACGGTAGCGTCCGATCAGCGAACGTATTATCGCGTGACGTCGGCATATATTATCCATCTCGTTCACAGTAAACTCTACGTAGTGCGAACATCGAACGAAACGAGTTGGACTGGTTCATTTTTTATACAGGGAAAGTCCAATTATCTCACTTACAATTGTGAGTTCAAATCATCAAATGCTTCCTATTTTATAGTAATCTTGCATGAAAAATAGATTTGGATGTGCTATTTTGTATTAATCATTTATTTGTTCATCTTATAAGCAAAACTAGTTTACGTCTTTTACCTTTTCATGTTTTGATGAACGAATCACGAACGAAATTAACTGGGAAATGGCCATTCTGATTGATCCAAAGTCATGAATAATTCATGAATAATTCATGCAGAGCAGTAAAAGCCAGAATCCTAAAGGCCTTGCGGCTAACTCCACTCGATCGCGCGTTCACCCCGGATCTCTAGACTCATCTCAGCCGCTGATTGGGGTAGAAAATAGCCAGAATCACGAGGCCTTGTCAAAAGGCTAGGGATATTAGGCAAGCTTTTGGATCGACCCTGAAAATAGACGTCATTTCATAAAAAATTCTTATAGGCTCAAGGGGACGTTACATACTGTTATCACCTCGAGGCGTGTCAATGGGTGATGGCAGGATGTAACGTCCCCGAGAGCTTATAAAACAAATATGCCTCGAATGTTAAAGCAGTCTTTATATCTTTTATATACCGAATTGACACAAAAATTTGCCAAGAATTCTTACCTTATCCTTTTCTTGAGTAAAGATTGGTTAAAATGTGACATAAAATCCGAGACACTGTCTGTAAACCTTCGCTGGAAAGATGACTGAATATTGGAAATCATTAGGGAATCGCAGACAAAAAGCACTGGTAACCGCGCTCGCACAAAGTAAGTTTAACACGTAAAACCAATGGGGATCTCATCAAAATTTTACTATTTTCCAGCTACCGGCATGATCTTTCGTGAATGTCACTCATGAACTATTCACCGTTACTGGCATTGTTTGTTTCGCTAAGGGAATGGTTAAAATTACGATTCCAATTTCGACCAATCAGATTGCTAGATTTCTAAAGAGAGCTCTATAAAACATAATTTAGACCGCAAGGGAGTAATATTTTCTCTCGTGATCAGATTTTCCCTCAGCGCTGCGCGCATCGTGAAAAATTATGATCTCCTTCCTCGGTCAACACCCTAGTACCAGTCAATATCTGTATAATACTGTGACATTTTTAAATAATCAATTTGATAAGAAATTGGCTCAGTATAAGAGTCACATGCATTGTACACGCAAATGCGCATAAGAGACAACACAAACACGTGCCATGAAAGTTGTTGTCCACAACCTTTTATTGCTACTTGTCGTATTACGGATATGAGGGCATTTGAAGAGCCATCCTTTTCATATGTTTCAGGAGACGATTTTTCTACGATACTCTTCCTCACTAATATAGAAACGATGAAAAAAGCTCACAAATTATTGTTCACCTTTCTCAGAACTCGTTTTTTTCTTGACACAGTATCCACAATTAATACCAGTAAACTTCTTAACACCCTGTTCAGTGTATGACATTTCAGTTTGAAAAATATTACGCCACAAACAATTTCTTCGAAATTTAAATCGGTCTTTCTTCTCGTAAAATTATTTGTCATATATGATTAGACTTGTTTTTATGAAAGCATGTACACGTATAAAAATAAAACAATTATATTTAATTGAGAATAACATCGGATCGGACAAAAACAGTTTAATGGGGTGTATTATAATGCCTTACATTATATAATAAGACGAGAACCATCCTGTATTAACTGATACGCTGGCGTGAGGGAGGTAAGAATTCACGAAATGATCAGTGTCCTTTCTTGGAAAATGAAATCCAACTCTCTCCAGCAGCATCTCGCCAACAAAAATAGAAAGCCTTACTAATTCTATTGCGATACGTCATAAGAATGTGACTTTTATCCCCTTTTATATGACATCACAGTTTTGGGTGATAGAGCTTTAGATCATCGAATTCATAAACAAATCATCAAGTAATGAAAAATTGGAAAGTGGGATCTATTAATAATCACAATGAATGGTCATTCCTTGAACATCATTAAACTTTCATTTCCTTTTTGTCTTTGAATCCCATTGTATTGTCAAATGCGGCTAGTTATAACTCTTACAGAAAAAAACCGAAGGGTAAATTGAATGGTATACCGTTGATTTTACCCTTCAAAATTTACCACTCGGTGCATTAGAACACCATTCAATTACCCTTCATAATTTACCACTCAGTGTTGGAATATATCATTTAGAATTACTCTTCATTTACCCTTGAATACTAATTTAAATAATTGGGACATTTAATTTGCATATTGTTGTACCCTTCACCACTCAAATGGTATAATTCATATACCATTCACCATTCAGACTACCCTTCGTTTACCCTTCATTTTTTGGTACCGTTCAACACTCAAATGGTATAATTGAAATACCATCCAGATACCCTTTGAGTAATATAATCTAGCACTGAAATACACATCAAATACCATTCACCATTCAGATTACCTTTCATTTACCCTTCATCTTCTGTTTACCCTTCACCACTCAAATGGTATCATTCAAATACAATTAAGATACCCTTTGAATTATACTCTATCACTGAAATACCCTTCAATTTACCCTTCATATTTTTACCCTTTACCACAAATGGTATCATTCAAATACCATAAGATACCCTTTGTATTAAACTCTACCACTGAAATACCCTTCAATTACCATTCACCATTCAGATTACCCTTCAATTTTTTTTGTAAGGGATCGACTTATATTTCATCTAAGGTTGCATATATATATATGTTGAAAGATGAATAAAGAAACATCACTGAAAGATTACTTATCTTTGCCTTTCTTTTTATCCTTTGATATCTTCCTTTGCGATTCACCTCACTCACAAACATTTTTGTATTGTTCTTTAGTTAGATATGTTTATATAGTGTTAAGGAATGAATGTAGCTATGTGTGCCGCCAATTGCTGTCAGTTACAGCCCAGTTTAGGAGATTCTGCTCAACTCACAATAAATATGATAAAGGATGATTGTAACTGGGCAAAAATATGTATCAAAATCTGGCATGAGGTTTCCCCGACATAGACTCACCCTCACGATGGGCAGTTTTTATCCATTATAAATTGCTTACAGCTTATCGTCAATAGAGTACATTGTAATAGTTATTTAACAGTTAGCGTCACCTGTGCTTGGGAGGGGGAAAGGGAACTAAATGAATCGCTGTGACCCTCGGGTATCCCCTCCCCGTATAACTGATTGGGGTTGTGTAGACCACTACACCGGGGTTTCCTCCTACTCTTATACGAATAGTGCAGTATGATCTCAAATTAGATGACGAAGATGTATATGAATAACTTTGTCACTGTTGTTGGACGTCTGTATAAACATTTTGATAAAGCTTACGACGATAAATTTATGTCAAGAATTTAATTCAATTATAAAGTATACAATGTGATTTATGTATGATGACGATGTATTTCTATGATTATGTGTTCACCCATGTACTTATATGAAAAAAACAAAATCGGATTGAATATAATCGAAATACCTACATATATGGAAATTGCAGATACATTGAGAAAAAATAATAACTTGATTTTTGCTTTCAACTACAGAATGAAGAATTGTACACACCTATGGAATCTGTTTCATTCTACATTCAAGTACCGTGAAGCATGCAATGTGACTCGACCTATGTATAAGGAGTTCGTAGCTGAGGCCACCATCACAATACCCTCCAATAAGGTTTGTGACGTCATAATAATGATGATGATGATGATATTCACATTTGTATATAGCGCTCAATACTACGTAGCTAAGCGCTTTACATATGGTAATAAAAAATCACCACGGTCGTTGGATTCAGTTGCTAAATATTTCAGACATTTCAGATATTTCACACCCTCCACTCCCTGTGGAGTATTCCCACCAGGCGCTGTTTTACAAGCGCACACGTTCCAATCCAGCCTCCTTAACATCCTGACCTTACCGTTTACCCATTTAACATATGGGTAGAGAAAAGCAATGGACATACAAATACGCTTAAGGACATTGGTCCTGGCGGTGATCGAACCAATAAACCTTTGAATCTCCATTCAGGTGTTCAGCCACTCGACATTGGGGACTTTTAGATTTGCACGTCGACATAGTGGACTGCTACGTAAAGGACGTCACACGTAGCAATCCACTATGTCGACGTGCAAATCTAAAAGTCCCTATATAATGACACATCTACGCCGTAGGCCCATCTAAACTCATAGGGTGGTATTCTGATAGCGCGTACTAAGTTAGCGCGTACTTAGTTCACACTTTTATGGAGTGCCTGTTGCAAACTAATTTACACTGTACAGATCATTTTAATCCTTCAATGAAAAGTGTCCAAAAAAATTAATTTTGCAATGTAATGGGAAGAAAAAGATAATATGAGTATGAACTAAATTTTTAACAAAGTCTTTGGTATATTTTCTTTGTCATGAATATTGAAGGAGGAAGATGAAACCTAGCATTCCATAGAAGTGTGAACTAAAATTCTTGTTTAGTCTGGACTTAGTCCTGGCTTAACTTATGAGAATACCACACAAACCCTTTAATACACGTGAATGTGTTGTGATACAGTGGTTCATTCACTTGACTCAATCCAAGATTAGGGTAATGAAAATGTAATTCTCTTTAAAAAAAAATATTAGTAGTAGTAGTAGTCCTATATTATTATTATTATTATTATTATTATTATTATTATCATTATCCTCCTCCTCCTCCTCCTCATCATCATCATCTTCATTATCATCATCATCATCATTCATATTATCGTTATAGTATACAAGGATACAAGGCGTCGTCCATTAGTCTATGAATGAATTGGAGGTATATTTTCAGCAGAAACTCAATTGAAGTCAATTGAAGAAGTCAATTGAAGTACTATTTCTGAAAGATGCAAAGAGTTTAATCCATAGGCGTTAGGCAGGGGATTGAACGATTTAAAGTCTGTTTTCGGACTTTAGAAATAAGACAAATAAAGCATCATTTTTGTACTAAGTAATAATGATATTAATACCACCAGTAAGAATGTTTAGAACGTGTTGATTCAAACCAACAAGTCTGTTATAACATTGCTTTGACTTCATCCTTATCTCTAATGTCTTTTGAGGCAACATTTCGCATAAGGTATTTGGTTTTGCTACTTAAACTAATGAATGAAAAGTGTTAATATGCATTGTCATTTTACTAATTTCACTAATGATGAAATGTGTATTTACATTTGCTACAACATAGTGCGAAGCGTCACTAATTGCACCCATTATAACATGATTATTTGATTGCTAATTTAGGTTTAGGATGCAAAGACATTATGTCGGGCTCATTAATTTCATGTAGAACTAGATTTTTAACAAATAGCTCAATCGCTAAGCTTTGTTTCTTCTTTCAAATTGGCAATGCGTTAACAGTTGGCTCTATTTTCATTTAACATTTTGTTTATTTTCATACTAAAGCGCTTTGCACACTACTCGATCGTCCTGCGATCTGGCGTCATGATATAACAATTGCATGAGCTATGATATCCAAACTTGCATCATATTCCTGGTTTAGCTTCTAGATAAGGATAAGGGTGCTAGCTAAAAATGTCAGAGGTATACATTTCAGAGGTATACATTTCAGAAGTAAAAATGTCAGAGGTAAAAATGTCAGAAGTAAAAATGTCAGAGGTAAGAATGTCAGAGGTAAAAGTGTCTGAAACTTTTCTACTCAGAATAAAAGCCGTATCGGCTTCAAGTTGTAGACAATCACAGTACTGCTCTGACGTTACTTCGAATCTGAGCAGATCAAGCTTTTCAAGGAAGCATGAAATCTCCTGAAATTTAGATTTTTTTTAATCAAATGACAATTTAGACGAGCGGTAATTAATATTTTACATGTTTTAATGTTCCTATCAAATGATATAATTGCAATTATTTCAAAATCGGTTCGTAGACTAATCGTATAATGTGAGCTGGGCTTGAGACGATCACAAAGACTTTCTAGAAATCAACTCAGGAACATTCTAAATACCCTATCGAATATTTCTAAGAAATCATTTTCAGATGACATAATACCTTAATGTATATATTATTCGGACATGTATACTGAAACTGTCTTAGGTTGAGTTGTCGAAGCCTTTCCGATCATGTCTACTGCTGCATAAGTTTACAATTCTCAAATAATGGTATCTTACTGATATGATTTCTTTACAGTCGGCTTTTTGGGATGGTTGGACCATATACGACACCGTTCACTCGTATGCCAAAGAAGGCAGACGTTCGTGGTCGCTCGAGTATACTCTAATGGGTTACCTCATTAACAATCTCAAGTTCTGTGGGCAGGAGGCGGAACCAGGGTTGAGATACGACTCTTGCCCCGGCCCTGATGAATGTGGGTTCGCTAAAGGGTGCGCTGATGCGTTCTGGGCAGAGGCCTCCATTAATGTGAGTGTCAATTGGTTTGCTCCTCTTCCTCTCCCTTTTCTTCCTTTTTCTTTTTTCTTTTTCTTCCCCTTCTTCTTTTCTTATTCTTTTTAATGTTATTGTTATTATTCATATTCTACTTCCTCCTCATCCTTACCATGGATCCGTCAGAATCTTTTAAACAATTAATTCAAATAGTTTGTTTGTTTGTTTGCTTTTATTTCTGCGTTCAAAATAATACAATACATAATATAAAATGTGTTTACAAAGATAATATACAAAACAATTCATAAGATAAACAATATAGTCATGATACATAATGAATACAAAATAAGGAAGTGAGCTTAATTTTTCTTTTATAGATATATATCCATATATACGCACATATACCTACATATACATATAGTGAAACAATGGAAATGAAGTGGAAGGGAGGGGATGAAAGGGTAAAGAGAGAGTGGTGGACTGATGGGTAAAGGGACAAAGTAATACTGGTCAGGCCAGACATCCCATTTCTGTATTAAACCGCTGTTCTCTTTATTGCCTCGATTGTTTGGCATCTTCATCTTTTCCCTAACTATTTCATATTTACCATTTATATCATTATCTAGTTTGCAAAGCAAGCAAAGGGACAAGTTCGTGTTTTCTTCGACAGCAATCGTGAAGGGGGTGCCTTTCACAATAATAACAGGTAAACCTCCCTGAAAGTCGGGGGCGCTGTGCTTTACTCATGAAGGCTCTTGACTCTCAAATGAGAAGTTCAAGGTTCGATCACTTCTTGGTGCTTACATCCCTATCGACCTTGGTATAATCATTGCGTACCTGGCAATGCTGTGATAATAATAATACATGTAATTGCAGAGCCCTCGGGGAGAGCAGTATTAATTCAGGGGGGGGGGGGCGTTTCTCAAAACTTGTCATCAGTGACAAATGACATTTTTTGTTATAAGCTACTGAAATCCTTGCTTCTGATTGGTTATCAGCAGATTTCTCATTGATTTTTGTCATTTGTCATTGAAAAAAAGCTTTGTGAAACACCCCCTGATGTTGCTTACCTGTGTAAATAAGACCAAAATAGTATTATTATGACTTGTCACAAAAGAATTTAACGCTGTAAATACGATACGCATACCTCTATCTCTCACCGATGGCGTAGATTTAGAGGCGCATGCCCCTGATTGAATAGCAGAAAAAAATAGACTTTTAAAAATCGAGAAATAAAATTATGATAAAAAAGATTGAAAAATAAAGCGGAGAGAACCAAAAAAGAGGAATAAGGCGATGGGAGAAATTAATACCCAAACCATAGACTAATTACCTTGCCACTTGAATCCCAACCCACCAACCCCCCCCCCCCCCCCCCCCCCTCCCCGTCACAGTGCCCTTCAAAGACTGAGCCTTTACACAAATATTGATTTTTGTTTCTTTCCTATCGATCGATTTGACATGTTTAATAACAATGATCTGACTCTTACCAGAACGAGTTCCGTATATAACATGTATTCATTTTCAATTTTTTTTCATTTTTATGGCTAACAGTTTTCAAATATCTTCTTTACAACTTGACAAAAATAAATCTTCTGGAGACTTTAGGATTAACATTCATTCATTGATATTCACGGGACGTAGTGCCCTTTCCACCATAACCATTACTTATTTATCTACAGTTAGTATGATAATAAGAATTTTTTTAAAACAATATTACGTAATAAATTATGCAGTGATAATTAGAGTATTTAACAGGTGGCAGTTTTTATTAAATAGATTATCATGATATAGTTTGGTTATCAGCAAACTTTACTTTACCTCTAACCTTTCTAAGTTAAATATATGCTTTACAAATCAATATGATTGAATTAAATTGGAATCTACAATTTATGGATTTGTATTAATATACATCAGTGTCAATTATATATATATATATATATATATATATATTTTTTTTTTTTTTTTTTTTTTTTTTTTTTTTTAAGGAAATAAAAAAATGCAAAAATCTACGTAAAGTTTAATCCAAATGTTATTGAATGTCATTGATCGAAATAGTTGTTGCTGTTGATGTGTTGTTTTTGTCTTAGTTTGAGAAATATTGCTAATGATTTTTAAAAAAATGTCTGATCTAGCTTTAATTCAATTTAATATAACAAACGGGAAAATTCAGTTTAATCCAAACTATAATGCTGAATGCATTGACTGATTATTATTATTAGAAATATTGTATGCGAGCTAAAAAGGATTATTTATTTCTATCTTGTTAACATTAAACTATTTCTCTTTTGTATTTCTGATTTGTATATTTATAGTTACTTTGCGCAGTATGAATTGATTAACATGGACCCGGATGCTGTGGAGAACGTAAACATTTATCTGGTAACAGAGCTGGAGACAAAGTCAGGGTGAGTATGAGTTTCAAAAACATCTTCTAAAACGATAGCGAATAATAATAATAATAATAATATTTAATTTTTATATAGCGCCTAATACAAATGTCTCTAAGCGCTTTACAAATATACTATTACCCCGGTCATTGGATTCAGTGCTTGCCCACACACACTGTGTGCACAATCTCCACTCCCTGGGGAGCATTTCTCCGGAGAATCAACTTCAACAGCATTTTAATAGCATTTTCCATCACCTTTTAAAATGTGCGAAGGAAACATTGACGGATCACATGATCCAAACATGATGTCGATGGGACAGTCATATAGAAAATACTCCCTGGGTTCATTTTTCGAGAGTAGCTTCGATTGTGTTTTATTTGTTTTTTTATCGTGTACACATGCTGTGAAAGCCGTGTAGGTTTGAATCTCACGTAATCCCCTAAAGTAAAAGTGCACTTTTCCACAAAGAGCAAATTGTTATAGAGGACCGTTGATTCAAATAATTTTAAACTTAAGAATGGGATAATACATGAATATATATCCGCACACAAACACGCACACACCTATATCGAACACACCCATTATATATTAGTAATATTTCATTAAGTAAATCAAAAGAATGCAGATGTACAGTTTTACCATTCAATTCCTTTCCCCTGTAAAATCAATATTTCAAACAAAATACAGACACACTTTAAATCCTACAGTATCATGATCCATGAATGCATAGAAGAAAGAGTATATTAAGGGCAGATATGAAAACTATTATATGAGAAATATGATGCGAGGCTACTATGATGATGACATCCGTTTACTCCTATCTTCTCCCCATGGCCTACGCCACCATCCATGCATTTACTCTGGTGCATCGTGTAATGTAATTCTTATTCCATTCTTGGTTAATAAGAGGGTCTACAATTTGACGTATGTTACTAATGGTTACGCCCTTGACGTTCACTGTAAGGTATGGGATTGGTATACAAGGGGCGGATCCAGGTGGGCCCCCTCCCCTGGCCAACAAATTAGTCCCAAAAAAGTAAACTTTGGATTGGCTCAAAGCGCGGGGGGAGGGGGTGTGTTAGGTAAACAAAAATAGAGCTCCATACCCCCCCCCCCGGGCCCCCCCCCCCCCCGTTGAGCCATAAAAAGCAAAAGTAGTGCTCACTTCACCCCCCCCCCCCCCTTATTCGGCCGGTCGGCTGAGTCACCGCTAGATATTTGTCTAAGTAACTAAGTGGGCCCCCTCCCTCGCCGCCGGCTGGATCCGCCTCTGTTGGTAGTTTCAATGGCAGATCTAGAGAAGCATAAGTGTATCCTCCACCCCGACCTCCGGCAACATACAATATGACATAATTATAAGCACCCATAAATACATGAAATGTGTTCCCTACTTGTCCCCTTGGCAAAACCCATGTGTGCTCATTTTTAATTTATATACAATACCAACAAAAGTAAGTCGTCTAATGGACCCCACGCCCCAAATCAGAACCCCCACACCCCCCCCCCATCCACCACTTTATGGTTTGCTACTCTTTTATAACTGTTTTATTACTTCTTTAAATTAATGAATGAGTTTCTATTTTCCACTTGATGATCAATTCATTCGGTTAAATGACATTGGATACAGTTGTCCGTCACAAAATGCATATCATGATCCGAAATCAGTGTTTGTACTGAGCACTGGGTTCTGAGTAGAGGTTTATAACCGCGTGATTGCAAAAATGCAAGTTACACATTGGTCTATATCGTTTTATTACTCGTTTGAGTATAACTAAAGGCCAAGCTAACACCTCTTCTCTCTCTCTCTCTCTCTCTCTCTCTCTCTCTCTCAATCTTAATCTTTCCAACCCAATCCCCTTTCTCTTGCCTCTCTCTCTCTCTCTCTCTCTCTCTCTCTCTCTCAATCTTAATCTTTCCAACCCAATCCCCTTTTTCTTGCCTCTCTCTCTCTCCCCCTCTCTCTCAATCTTAATCTTTCCAACCCAATCCCCTTTCTCTTGCCTCTCTCTCTCTCTCTCTCTCTCTCTCTCTCTCTCAATCTTAATCTTTCCAACCCAATCCCCTTTCTCTTGCCTCTCTCTCTCTCTCTCTCTCTCTCTCTCTCTCTCTCTCAATCTTAATCTTTCCAACCCAATCCCCTTTCTCTTGCCTCTCTCTCTCTCTCTCTCTCTCTCTCTCTCTCTCAATCTTAATCTTTCCAACCCAATCCCCTTTTTCTTGCCTCTCTCTCTCTCCCCCTCTCTCTCAATCTTAATCTTTCCAACCCAATCCCCTTTCTCTTGCCTCTCTCTCTCTCTCTCTCTCTCTCTCTCTCTCTCTCAATCTTAATCTTCCTAACCCAATCCCCTTTCTCTTGCCTCTCTCTCTCTCTCTCTCTCTCTCTCTCTCTCTCAATCTTAATCTTCCTAACCCAATCCCCTTTCTCTTGCCTCTCTCTCTCTCTCTCTCTCTCTCTCTCTGTCTGTCTTCATTCCCAAATATTGTCACCTTTCTCTCGACCACTCCTCCGGGGAAGATGTAAATTCATAAGTTTGGGGAACATGCATTAGATATGATCTAAGGTGCCCCCAGGCTATCATACGAAAAACATTTTTTTTTTATCGGATTTGAGATGAGCATTTAGCGTGTTCCCAATGGACCAATGTGAATATTAACAGCAATTCTAAAATTGGATAGCTGAAAACACATGCTATTATGTAAAGAATTTATAGAAAGTGTTCCGGGACAAGATAAAGAGAATCAATCAGAAACGTTTTCATGAACTATCCAAGAACTAAAAAACACAAAATATGACAAAGGTAGCACACAAATTATGTTGTTTCATCAGAATATGCATTTTTTTTAATTTACAGTCTTTGATAAAAGGGATACTAAGAGAAGGGATGGGTGTCACTCGATTGGGCGGACCAGTAATCAATTGTCTATCAGATGTTGGACGATTTTTATACGAACCTTCATACCTATTCATAACTATTCATAACTTTTCTATTTAGGTTTTTACTCAGATTTTGTTCAGATTATAGAAAAATCAGGTTTCAAGTCTGTACACTTGTTATTATACTTAAAGATACTATGTCCCTTTTGCAGCCAACCTCAAATTCTGTAGAACTTTGCAGGAATTATGAATATGTCATAAATGTCCTATCTGTGAAATTTAAACGTTAGCAGTGTCCTCATATTCGAATTATGCAAGGAAACCCGTTTACTTGCTAGACTTCACTGTCAGACACTATTGAGTGACTGACTGGCTTTTTTTCTTCTTTGGTAATAACATACATGAAAAGAGTTGTAAAGGGTACATAAGCATTTGTCTACATCAATAACCCACTTCTTGTGATGGCCAAGATTAAACTGATTGAATCTTTGCGCAGCATAAAACGTATGACCATTTGGTACAATTGTCTGAAAATCAAGACTATTACTGTTGATCTCTATAGCCCTAAAGTCGATTTGACAACTAATAGTCGTTATTTTCCCACTTGAAGATATTTTCAAGCCCCACCATTTTTAGGGAAGTTCTAAATTAGTATTATCTTTCAAATGCAGTTGGAATTTAACTTTTTCATTTTTTGGCCTGCAAATGGGACATAGTACCTTTAAGTCATATTATGGTACGCATGACTGTATCAGAGACATGCATAACATAATTTTTCAAGAATTACATCGACCTAAGCCGAAATTGGGCGTGAAAATACCATTAAACTAATCCCTGAACACTCTCATTTGACCTTCTTACATGCATTAAATATGATCTAAGGTGCCCCCAGGCTAGCATACGAAAAACATTTTTTTTATCGGATTTGAGATGAGCTTTTAGCGTGTGCGAATTATTATGGTTCCCAATGGATCAATGTGAATAATTCTAAAACGATGCAAAGTATATTAACCCTAAAAACTGTGGGGGGGGGGGGTGGTTACAGAACGTTACGGGCATGATTTGGGTTTTTACTTTGGTTTGAATATTTTTACTTTACTTTATCTCTGATATGCATGTCTGTGTATCAACAGGGAAATGTGACAAATGACATTACTTTTGTAACTTCAGAATGTACTATCTTTAAATTATAATGATGATAATAGAACAATTCCAAGTACACTAACACGTATACATAATTTCATTAGCCTCGTGCATCTCATATTGAAATGCGCGAACATTATCCAAGCTTGATATTTATGGAAATTACAATAGCCAACAGGGTAATGAAATAATGACATGACATTATCGCTGTCTTAAAACAGAAAATCTACGGTCATTTTCACAATTAAACCTCATGTCTACTTTGGTGTCAATTCTTTTTATGGACATCGCTCCTTTTGCAAAGCTTCTACTGGCCTTTGGAACAAAGTACCATTGCATGTCAAAAACTGTCAGACTGTTAACCAATTTAAAACTTGTCTTCAGACATATTTACCCGAAATTGCTTTTTTATGATTAACTTTCTCTGTACACATTGATGTATATTTCATATATATTGTAATTTGGAGGTTTATTTTAATTTTTGTTTTGTTTAATATATAATTGTTTATCATTTTATTATGTTTGTTATAGCGCTTAGGGACTTCGATGGTAAGCGCTTTATAAGCATCGTTTGTATTCTTATTTTTGTTATTATGATGGGAATGGCAATCATAATTTATGCGAATCGTTGCCCGACATATTTATTTTTAAAAAGATCTTCAAGTTTTATCTAAAAAAAATTAAAAGCTATCATACATAACACGTGAATGTAATGGTTAATTATCGGAGTTTCTTGCAAAAACATTCGAAAATCACATTTGTCCATTTACAGGTTTTGTACTGTATTTTTTGTTACTTATCACTAACCTGTTGGCATCGTTATTTCTTTGAATGAACAGGGATAACTGCACCTCTCCATCTATTCAGGAACTCATTGGAATCTTAAAAGAGAAAAATATTCGATACACATGCTACGAACAACCAAGGTAAGTTTTATTACGATCGATCTGGGCCCCATCTTAAAAACAGTTGCGGTATTGTGCGGTTATAGAAGAAAAAAAATGTCGGGAAGGGGCTGGCTTCGTGTTCCCGGAGGGTGGGAGGGGGGGTTTGGGGGTTCAACCCCCCCTTTGGTATTTTTATGTGTGTAAACCCCCCTAAAAAAACCTAAACCCCCCCCCCCCCCCCCCCCCCTTTGGATTTTTTTTTTTTTTTTTTTTTTATTAAAAAAAAAATATATATATATATATATATATGCCCACGGCTAACCTAAAAAAGGTGACCTTACAATTGCTTCAAGTCGATCGCAGCAACTTGATATCGGTCGCAAATCTGTACATATAAAATTAGAGTTCGTAAGCTTGCGATTGATCAATCGCTATAAGTCCCTAGAACGATTTTCCGACATGGTTAGCTATAAACTATAAGGACGTAAATATCTTGATTTAGACCTAACATAATAAAGTTATCATTCTTTTGTATCGTCCAAGTATACCATTTCACCTTTTTTTTTAATAAGATACCTTCTCACGCACCAGGCAGAAAAAAAAACATGATAACAAGAGCAAATTAAAAAGACGATGAAGGTGATGAAAGGCCAGGACATTTGGGGGATTTTTAAAGTAAAATATAATCTTTTGGAGGTGAAATGAGATCTAGAAAATTTCAAAGAAAATTCTCCAGAAGACAAAGGAAGCAGAAGAAAAAGCAGGAACACACAGAGAATAAGGAGTTATCCAGGCCACCCACCCGTACCTATCCCTTTAGTTCTACCCTTTCTTTTCTAACTGTTTTCACGAGAATGAGATGTTGGTCTTACTCCAGGTTAACCAAACTGTAATACTTTAATGGAGACTGAAAAACAAATCTACAATGGGAGCCAGGCTGTCAAATATTTGTTTCTTCCGTTTTCCTTCGGAGCAACTTTCTTTGAACGTATGGAGATTGCGCGGTGATCAGCACTGGTCTTATACAGGAGTCCATACACAGATTGTTGCTTTCAAAGCCAGAACAAAATGAGTGCTGTGGGTGGATGATAAAAACTCTTTTGTGCATGAACACTTCCTTGAAGCGTTTGTTTTCTATTTGCAAACAAGCATTGGCTCTTTGTAAAAGGATTTGTAAAGAATTTGTTCTCCATTATCTCTGTCTCAAAAAGGAAATAAGATCAAACAATATTTTGCCACTCAATTAAAGGACACTCGATCTGTACTAGTCAACCTTCATCTAGAACCCGCCTGCTGAATTTTCGAATGAATTACCACAAATTAGGTCATCGTTCGATCTTTTGATAATGTATTTAATAATTAAATTTGTACGATAATTCATTTGTCTGCAGGTATAGACTCTACTTTGACATAAACACATTTCCATCAAGCATTTAGCAGAGCCTATCTCTCTCTCAGTCTCTGGTTAGTCTGCAATCACAGATTCTAGTTTGACACTTCACCACAATGCCCAAAGCCTTGAGCAGAGCCTAGGTCTATCAGTTCTGGATGAGCGGCTGAAGGTGCAGAGCCTGTTGTAGTTTCATATTCCAGACACTGTTATGTGCAGCAACTGGCAAGGGTTTGTGCTTGCAATGTATTCACCGGCGTAATAATAATAATAATAATAATAATGTCTTGTTCCCCAGGGTAGCCTCATCAGTATTCATACTGTTCTCCCTAATGTGCATCTTCACAATATTTAATCGTTGTTGTATACATTATCTTTATTTTCACTGTATACTTTTTGTCATTTTAACAGGGATGTATTGCATTTGCTCTGTATTGACGGGAACGAGTCGGACGAGTGCATTCTGCAAAAAGATGCCCTTGTTTCGCCAACAGATGTCGCTCTACCGTTAACTACAAGTTCATCATCGAGAACTCGTAACGCCATTAGCATCAGTTTTCAAGTATTAATCGTGATCTTTGTTGGTTTTACACACCGTGTCTTACACAATACGTAATATTCAGTTTCCAAGGTTACGTTTTTTGTTTAATTTTACAGAATATGCCAACCTCCAGAGTTTCAAACTGACGTTAGTCTTGACATTTTCATCAAATCAGTGATATTGTAATATGGATGTTCAGAAAAAGATTTTATAACTACAAATACAAAAATCAAAAAATTGTATCAATAAAAGTAGACCCGTTTTTCTAATGCAATGTAAAAAGAAATTTAGGAATATACTTTTTTCTTCATATTTCTAAAAATTCGCCGTAAAACAAAAATATTATCTCCCACAAGTCGCAATTATATGCTTGCTTCGTGGTCGTATGTTACCCAACCATGAGCAGTGCAAGTGAAAATTATTGTTCAAATTCACCTTTCAAAAAGGATGCACATATTGACTCCTAATATTTTTAATTATCTCTAATTTTCACTCTGACTGTAAATCGGAATACTGTTTAAATAAAAAGAACATCTGAGAATACAATATTATAAATATTTCGGTTTTCTCGTGATAGAAGAAGGATCTTCAACACAATGTTAACACGCAGCATCGTGAATTATTATTAAATTATAATTCACTAATAAAAGAATTATGTTTTGTGTTCATAAATTGGGACCAAAGGCATACGAAGTTCTATTGTTTATCTGATATAAAATTAAGATTGTTATGTATGCAAGTTTCAATAGCAGGGATCATACTTTAAGTTTTCTTGATTTTTTTTCTTTTGTAATTCACAGATACGAAAATCTTTCCCTTTAGCCAAACCATCTCAATAATTTATCCAGATTGCAATGCAAAATAACATACCAGTAAATATTTTCGCAACTAGCTATCCCGACAAATGAATATTATGATGACTTGTGTTGTCTATAAGTTGGGTTTGAGTGGTAAGTAGCATATTTAACATGGGTCAATGCTACAATAAGAGACCCTTGGGACGCATTTTGAAGGCGTCCGGTGGGCCCTTAGCAGCAGAAAATTTGTCTGTCATTGGCCCTTCCGTGCTTTATGGCATTCTTAATTCTTATATGTGTTTAATTTGATTTCAAGTGGTACCTCTATAATATTACAAAAGACATACAAACAGTTTCTGGAAACGGTCCTCGAAACGCAAAATATGATGATGATGATGATGATGATGATGATGATGGAGATGATGATGATGATGATGATGATGATGATGATGAGGATGATGATAATGGTGATGGTGATAGTGATGATGATGATGATGATGATGATGGTGATGATGACGATGATGGTGATAAATATGATGATAATGATAGTGATGATGATGATGATAATGATGATGATGATGATGATTATGATGATGATGATGATGATGATGATAATGATGTTGATTGCTTCTTGTATAGCGCCGGTGTCCACCTCTTGGACTTTTGGCACTTGCTCTTCAATGTTTCACGTACTTCGAAGCATATTTATATTATTCAAGTTTTAATTATGATAGCTCACTTCCTTTTTTTATACTCTAATTGAACATATTTTCTCAACTAGCTCGATAACAAATTTTTACCTTTTACCTCAAAGTGACTGTGAAAATATGGTTTATTCTTGATACATGTAGATAAAGTTGACACCTTTTCAGAACTTTATTAATCAATCTAAAGAATCATAAAGAGTCACTTTATGTTTCAAGAATGAGCCATATTTTAACAATCATTTCATCAACAGAGCTAATGAATAACTATTTCTTATTTATGGGCAACATTGTATTATAAGTTAGCTGGATACATAAATACCACTATGCTGAGCAATTTATTTGTTTGCTCATCATTACTATTTATATATAATATACGTGACAATAGATATCATTTCAAGTAATTAACATATATATATATATATATATATATATATATATTTATATATTTATGATTTTAGGGAATGTGCTGCGTTAAAGTAAAATGTATTTTGCACAACTTTCAGAATTTTGGTTAAAATTGAAATAATATTTGTTGTATTTTTATTAAAAGAAGAATGTATTGTAGGTTTATACGCAGTCAGGTAATTATGACTAAGATTTCTTTAAATCAATTTATGATTTTTCGAGTTGTCGGAATACTGTAATTGCTTCTTTTATATTGTGTTATCAACAACGAAATAGCGTTGCAATGATGGATTCATACAATCATGTACATCATTTTGTATTTGATATTAAAGTAGCTTATTGGAAGAAAGAGTATGAAATAATATTTCAGAGGTGTTAGTCCTTTTTCGCATTCTACATGAAGTTGTATTATATATAATATAGTTGGAGTGTCGTTTTAGTGGCTCATTCACTTGACACTAAATCTGAGGGTTTAGAGTTCGAATCCCAGCCCTGTACTAACGTCCAAGACGTTTAATCCACATTTCTCTGACCACCAATGCGAAATGGGTACCTAGCAATTGATGGGGTACTAATAATTGCAGTATATACCCCGGGTAAAAATATCATTTATATCGAATTTAATATGTAAAGCTTACCTCCCCTCCGCCTGAAAAAAGGGTGGTTTGCTTCATCTTGAAAAATGACTCTATTCATTATAATAAATTAAAGCCCCACTGTCCTACTTGTAGGTACTTGCTCCCTCTATACAGAAAACAATGCCTGAGCGGTGCCCGTGGTCCCCCATGATCCTCTTTGTCTTATTTTAATTGAGAGCTGAGTTGATGAGATAGTCAACTGTCAGTGACCACCCTGTGTTGTCTAATCCCTCCTGGCAAAACTAGTACAGACGGGCTTAAATAAAGGCCATTCTACTGACATTACTTCAGATTACTTCAGATTAGTACAAAGGGACACTACTTTAGATTTATGTATACTGCCATCTACTGCTCACAAAGTCCCAATGTGTCGACAGTTGCTCTTTCCCTCAAACCATCTCCAGGCGCAGATCCAGGATTTCTTAGGGGAGGGCCCAAAATTTGAATTCATGCGAGCCAAATATTGGTACGTAATGGTGACCAGCATTGGCGTAATAAGCAAAAAAGTATGGGGGACACACAAAAAACAATTAGCATCAACCCCCCCCCCCCCCACTCTCTTACATTCAGGCCCCGCTGAACGTTTTTCAAAGGGGGTGGGGGCAGGCTAAAGTATTTACCATCAGGTAGAGCGTAGCGTAAATTGGCATGGGGTCTAGGGGGAAAGCCCCGGCGGGGTCAAGGGGCGGAGCCACCGAAAGCTCAGGGGGTATGGGCATATTACGGTCAGATGAGCATATGTTGATACCTTATTTGTGACACTGGCAGGTCACTAGTTGGTGGCGTGGGGTCCAGGGGACGGAGCCCCTAGAAGCTCAGGGATTTTAGGCATTTTATACGGTCGGATAAGCATTAAGGGGCCTGCCTTTGGGTGGAGCCCCCGGAAGCTCAGGGTTTTAGGCATTTAATTACGGTCACATGAGCATATTTTGATACCTTATTTGTGACACTGCCAGGTCACTATTTGGCGGCATGGGGTCCAGGAGCGGAGCCCTTAGAAGCTCAGGGGTTTTAGGCATTTTATAACGGTCGGATGAACATATTTTGATATCTTATTTGTGACACTGGCAGGACATTAATTGGCGTGGGGTCCAGGGGCGGAGCCCCGGAAGCCCAGGGGTTTTAGGCATTAAATTACTGTAAGATTAGGATCCAGGGGTCCGCCTTAGGGCCCTAGGGAAGTTTTAGGCATTTAATTACGGTCAGATGAGCATATTTTGATGCTCGATGCCCCCTATAGCCCCGCCGTTCCGCGGGCTCTGATATTATGTAGACCTCTAAATAAGCAGATTTCTTGCCTGACTGTAAGTTTAGGAAATTATCTTTATCCAACAAAAGCATAAAAAAAAAAGTATATTTTGCTAAAAAGTGAGGAAAATTATGTAATTTCAACAACATTTGTAAATCAGCGGTATTTGGCGGTATTTGGGGTGGGGGCAACTGCCCCCTCCCCCCCCCCCCCCCCCCCCGTTTTACATTTTGATAGCGGGAAAATTGCAAATGATATCCCCCTTCTTTTCTTTTCTTCTCCCTCTTATTTTCCTTCCCTTTATCTCGATCGTTCCTTCTCTCTTACTTTTGTTCTGATGGGGGAGGCAAGGCCCTTTTGGCCCCCCCCCCCGATCTCCTTCTTTCCCCCTTTTATTTTCTTCTTTCTCTTCTTTCTTTCCCTTTCTCTCCAAAGGAAAATCAACTATAATGGCTACCCAGGGGAAACAAAAAAAATGGCCTTTATAGACAGGTTCTTAAACACCTAATTCTTATCCATGGGAACCAGTTTTTAGTGGCCACTGATAGGAATGTGTCTACTAAAGAGAGATGGCCGCTAAGACAGGGATGACTGTATTTTCATCATTTATAATCGCATATGTGCGCCCGGCCAAATCGAGGAGAGAGAGGAAGAGACGATCCCCGGTCTTCGATCTTCGCTTTCCAAAATACCCTAGGGTGTTTTGGAAAACGAAGACAGAAGACCGGGGACCCATGTACTATGCGTGCATGCACTTGTACGTGTGGTGTAGCCGCGGGGAGAGAGATAGAGAGAGAGAGAGAGAGAGAGAGAGAGAGAGAGAGAGAGAAAAGAGAGAAAGAGAGTGTGTGAGAGAGAGAGGGAGAGAGAGAAAGACGATCCCCGGTCTTCGCTCTTCGTTTTCCAAAATACCCCAGGGTGGGGTGGGGTGTTTTGGAAAACGAAGACCGAAGACCGGGGACCATAAACTCATGCACATCTCCATGCATGTACTATGCGTGCATGCACTTGTACCAGGCGCGCCGGAAGCAGTTTAGGATTGGTGGGGGGGGGGGGGACATTCCAAGGGGCCTATCTTCCAGGGGCATTGGCGTAATGAGCGAAAACGTTCGGGGGGGGGGGCAGAAGACAGATTTGTATCACCACCACTCTTACATGTTACATGCAGGCCCCACGGAACGATCAGGTTGTAGCGAGCGAAGCGAGTGAAGCGTAAATTGGCGTTGGGTCCAGGAGTTTTGCAGCGGCGGGGGTCAAGGGGCTCAGCCCCCGGAAGCTCATGGTTTTAGGCATTTAATTACGGTCAGATAAGCATATTTAGATACCTTATTTGTGTCACTGGCAGTTCTCTAATTGTCAGGGGTCCAGGGGGCAGAGCCCTTTGTAGCTCAGAGGTTTTTTGTATTTTATCACGGTCAGATAAGCATCCAAGGGGCCCGCCTTGGGGCCCTTGGTGTGGTCCAGGGGGCAAAGCCCCTGAAAGCTCAAAGGTTTTAGGTATTTAATTATGGTCAGATGGGCATCCAAGGGGTGGAGCCCCCGTAGGCTCAGGGGTTTTCGGCATTTTATTACGGTCAGATGAGCATATTTTGACATCTCTCTTTCTTTTTTCTCTCTTTTTCACAAAAGCCCCGTCGTTCTGCAGGCCCTGACATGAAGGTTTCTAAATAAGCATATTTTGTTGCCCGACTGTTAATTTGGGAATTAGTAATTTTCCAACAAACGCATAAAAAGGTATGATTTACAAAAATTGAGAAAAAAAACACTGGTATCGAATTAGAAATACCCCCCCCCCCCCCATCAGTACGCCAGCGTTGAGGGGCTCATTTCTTCTCACCCCTATAACAAAAAAACACACACGCCTTCCCATTCTCTCACAATATTTCTAACATCCATTGATAAATATAGGTGGCATGCAGAATGTTAAAGGGACTTGGTAACATTGTTAAGATGAGAGATAGTAGTGCTAAGGTAGTGACTTCAATGCTAGATGTACAATTAAAGATAATCTGAAAATTTGAGTGAAAACAGACTATTATTCATGGTACAAATAGGAAAAAACTGATCTGATCGATTCCTTAATTCTCCCAACTATATTATTTCAATTTAATTA